TATATATATATATATATATATATATATATATATATATATATATTGTTATTGAAATAACCTTGATGAGATGGATACAGACCAACATCTCTCCTCAGAGAGAGAGAGAAGAAAATGCAATCAACTTTCTAAAAGACAAAAAAAACCATTAAACTGTATTTTGATGGTTATAAGAATTACAAAATGAAGAAGCTATGCAAAAAGTTTATTTATAAATGATTGGAGCATTAGTTTCAAAATTATAGCATTTTTTTGTATATCCAAAATGATTATTAATAAAAAAATTTCCACCAGAATTGGAATCATTAAGTAGTTGGTTTTTATGCTTACATTATGTATTGTTTAGCCATTTAAATATGTGTACCTCATTTTAATCATGTCAAATATGCTTATAATATTATTTGATATGTAGTTTTCTTATAATCCATATTTTATATTATTTTCATATGGAAATTTCAAAATAAGCAAAATTTCTTATTTATTTATCATGGTTAGCTAGGGATTGTGCAAAGATTGCTCAAAAATGGTACAAAAGTGCTTACAGTGGGGATGCAGCTCCCTGGTAGAGCACTTGCCTTGATGATGAAGCCATGGGTTCTATCTCTACCTGTTATGGTTTGGATGTGAGGTGTCTTCCAAAAGCTCACATGTGAGACAATGTAAGAAGAAGGTTCAGGGGAGAAATGATTGGGTTGTGAGAGTCTTAATCCAATCAGTGAATTAATTCCCTGATAGAGATTAACTGAGTGGTAACTGAAGTGGTAGGTTGTGGAGGAAGTGGAAATTGGGCATGGCTTTCAGGTATATATTTGTATCTGGCAAGGGTAGTTTCTCTGTTTCTTCTTCTGGATCTTGATGTGAGATGAATTTTTCTGCCACACTCTCCTGCCATGATGTTCAGTTTCACTTTGAGTCACATTGGGTAGAGCCAGACTTATGGACTGAGACCTCTGAAACTGTGAGCCCTCAAATAAACTTTCTCTCCTTTAAAATTGTTCTGGTCAGATCTTTTAGTCACAGCAGCAAAAAAGCTGACTAAAATACCAGCACAGTCTAATATTCATCTGTATTACAAACACATGAACTTTATAGTTGTATAAAAAGTTACTCATAGACTTGATTACCCATTTAATATGCTTATATTTCCTAGAATGTTCCTGTGATCTTAATTCTCACAATGGGATTGGGTTTGGAAATAGTTACTATCATGTTTCCAATGAAACCAAAACCTGGCCTAAAAGTTACACTGCCTGTGTAGAACTGAATTCTCGTCTTCTGAAGATACAGACCCAAGAATTGCTGGTAGGGAAGACAATCTTACTTTTCTTTCACATTGTAACCATATTTGGTTTTGAAGTATTAGTGATGAACACTATAATTTGGCAAATTGAATGTTCTCAAGGATGCATTATATTTTATTTCAAATTTGTTTTCTCAAGGAAAAATTAGAGAAACTCTATCACTAGAATATGTAACACTGCAAGAAAACCAAACTAATCAAGTAGTACTATCTTGAGGTGGGGCCTATTAATACTATGTGAATGTGTGCAAGCTCTTGGGAGAACTTTTACCACTAATTACTGAGTTAGGAAGGAACACATGGTAATATATGAACATTTATGGATTATGAAATGTTTTTCCAATAGGATCTCTTATCAACATTTGGAATGTCGGGATGGATAGATCATAAAATGTGTGAAATTGATTGGTTCCCGTTAATGAAAAATTGTACCAAAATGAATGAAAGTCAGTAAGTATAGTGTTTGGATAAATTGGACTGTTTGAGAGTAGTGTGTGTGTGTGTGTGTGTGTGTGTGTGTGTGTGTGTATGTTTACTTATGACCTGCAACATATGGGAGATAATTGGGAAAAAGTTGCTAGCCCTTTCTAAGTAATGTCACATTTTGGAACATTGTTAACCTACTAGATTTAGAAAATTTGCGCATAGTTTTAGATAAGTTTAGAAATGTATAAACCTATCTCATGTTCTTTTATTTGTTTTTGATTCATAATTTTAATTACATAAACAGGATAGGATTAGATAGTGCTCAATATTTTTCATGAGGCTTACTGTTAGGTAAGACTTGTGAAGACTATTAATCAGTGGGGTGTTTTTTCTTTTTTTGATATATTATTATTTTATTAGTCATATGGATTCAGCTTAATATTGTATTCAAGATTTTGGCATGCATGGATTAAACCCATTTATTTCCATTTTTGAGTGTTATACTGATAGACTTTGGTACTGAGATTCTGGTAGCTTACTCAAACAATTGGAATACATTTTTTTTTAAAGCAGTAGCACATTTTATTAAAATTTAATATTATTTTTTCTTATATCAGTTTATTTGTTGTTTTATTTGCTTTTTAAAATTCTTTTAGGTTTGTAATTATTTTTGCTAAGTTTGTTGAGATAAAATTAGTATTTGTATACACCATACCTTGATTTTTTTACCCATTTAATTTATCCTATATGTTTTGATGTGTACAAGGTATACATCACATAGTACCTCATAAATATGTATACTTTTTATGTTCTTAAACCTTTTTTCTTCTGAAATAGTTAGTTTGGCATGGTGCTGCATGCCTATAATCCCAGCAACTTGGGAGCCTGAGGCAGGAGGATCCTGAGTTCAAAGCCAGCTTCAGCAATTTAGTGAGGCCCTAAGCAACTTAGCAAGACCCTGTTTCAAAATAAAGCATAAAAAGGACCGGGGATGTGGCTCAGTGGTAAAGTTCCCCTAGGATCAATCCTTGCTACCAAAAAAAAAAAAAAAAAAAACAGGGAAAGGACCTAACTGTGAAGAGCCTTGGTCTCAGGTATGTAAACATTAGTGGAGCCCAGGGGACAGAAAGAGTCTTTTGGGTCCAGAGTTGGGAATGTTCCTGAAGGAGGCAGCAGATAACTTGGACTCTCATTTGTTCCATTTGTTTATTGTCTGCTCAGCCTTTCTCAAAATATCTCCTATGGACAAGGGAAACTGCCATATTCTCAGCATGTTCCACCTTTTCCCCACTCAGAGTTCTCGGTGCAGAGCAGGTATAAGGCACAAAGAGAAGACAGCTGAAGCCTCCAGTCAATTCAGATTGGCCTGAGTTGAGGCTTTCCTGTTTGTGTGATTGGTTCTTCTGAATTTAAAGGAGACCCTCCTTTCTTTCTTTCTTTGAACGGGGGAATGAACTCAGAGGTGTTTCAACACTGAGCTACATCCGCAGTCCTTATTCTACTTTTTATTTTGAGACAGGATCTCACTAAAATTTCCCAGGCTGGCCTTGAACTTGGGATCCTCCTGCCCAGCCTTCAGAGTAGCTGATATTACAAGTCTGCATCACCATGCCCAGTGTAAAAAAGTATATATTTTTTCTTTTCTTTTTCTTTTACTTTGTTCTTTTTAGTTATACATGACTGTAGAATGGATTTTGACATATCATACAAACATGGAGTATAACTTCCCATTCTTGTGGTTGTACAACTTGATTTTTAAAAGCTGTTGTTATTTCTACAGAGTTCAATTGATGAAAAAGAAGAACAAGAATTGTGCTTATATCAGTGGAAAGTACATTTATCCTGAAAACTGTTCATCTAGGAAATTTTACATATGCGAGTTTAATATACAGCAACATCTGCTTTACTAACACAATATTATTAAATCCTAATAAAATATTTACAAAATACATTGGTTACTTGTTGACTTTATAATTTTTAAAATAAATTATGGCTGACTAATTTTATGCACTCTGAAGATTTTGGTTAAATTTTTAGCTTTTTAAATTGTACTGGGGTTGAGGAGAATTTAAACATCTTGGTATTAATTATCCTATCACAATTCATGTTGATACTAATTAATTAAGTATCAAATAGCAACTATACATTAATCAACTTTGAAAATCCAAGGGATATGATGAGAAGAAATATTTTTGTATCATTTAGTTTTTTTTTTTTTTTTTTAATTTTAAGAGACAGGGTCTTTTATGTTAGTCATTCCATCCTCTTGGTCCAGTTTCCCTAGTAGCTACAACTATAGGCACATACCACTATGCCCAGCTAAACTTAAGGTTTTTGACATGAGATGGATACCTTTTGAGATTGTTCAAGAGATTTAATCAGGTACTACTGAAAGCATTGAGGACATGTATAATTGAAAAACAAGAAATAAAAAATACAATTTAAGGTTAAAGAAGTTAATATACTCAAACGACCTGAAGTGGTAAGCTATTACTATTGCTAAAAAGCAGCTACTATAAATCACTTCAAAAATTTAAAAGCAAATAGTAAATCTTACAGAGAAAATAAAACCATGAGAGAAACCAAAATAAAATGCTAGAACTAAGAGATTAGTAAATAAAATGAAAATTTTAAATATTCTATATATTTAAATAAATAGAGGCTAAATTTTTCAAATTGTAGTTTAAAGAATATAATTTACATAGAAACATAAGATGCTTGGCAATTCTCAGGAACTTAAAAAATGGAAAACCAAAACTGGGGACATCATCATCAAAGTAATAAAAATTAAAAATGAAGAAAATATATTGAATACTGTCATAGAAAAATCATATTCAATGGAATAATGATATGGGAAATTGACTTTTTAAAAAATCAGAAACAGTGGAGATGGATAGGCACTAGAACACTCTAAAGGTAAAAACAAAGTCTCAAAAACCTACCAAGCCTTCTGATTTCTGGTCCAACCTTGTTGAGAGCTGCAGCCGAAGGGGCCCCAGCAAACTTCCAGCTGATTGGCTCCTCTGTGGTGATGCTCATTGGGCTATTTCCCCCGCCCTTTCAGACCACGGAGCTGCTCATTGGGGGCCTCTTTTGGCTCCGCCCACTCGACCCAGCCAATCTGCCTCAATAGCGGGAAAATTGAAAATGACCTAAAGGTTCCAGTTGAGAGTGCTCGCCAGAAGTGCCGGTGGTGGCAGTTGAGCTCTCGGGAATTCCTGGAGAGCTTGTGTGGTGCAGCCTGTGTGCTAAAAATAAAGTTCGTTCCTGCTTGACAAGTGGGTCATGAATTGTGCCCAGCCAGACTGTGGCATTTGGTGGCCCGTACTGGGAACGAACCTGCGACCTTGGCGTTATCAGCACCAAGCTCTGATGAATCCAAATTTTAAAAGTTTAGAGTAAAAAGGGTTATTTTAAGTTTATCTTTGGGGGATATATACCCCTTCCCAATTCCCTCTTTTTTGCTTTAATAAGTACATTTTAATAGTTTGAGGAGCAAAATTGTTTAAAAGAGGTAGAAGTATAACCAGGGGCATTATCTGTTTTTAACTGTTTTGGAATGCCCACAGTGGCAAAATTTTGTAAGCAATGAGCTATAATATCTTTAGTTTTTTCTCCAGCATGAAGGGAGCCCATCAAAAATCCGGAAGAAGTATCGACTGTAACATGCAAATATTTTAATTTTCCAAATTCTGGCAAGTGTGTGATGTCCATCTGCCAAATATGCTTAGGTATCAGTCCTCCAGGATTGACTCCAAGATTAACTTGTGGTAAAAAGGTCACACAATTTTGACATTGTTTTATTATTTGTCTAGCTTGTTCCTTAGTTATTTTAAAACGCTTTTGTAAAGTATTAGCAATGACATGGGACCTTTTATGAAAATTTGAGCTTTTTCTAGTGTAGAGAAAATATGTATGTCATGTGTAGTTTTATCTGCTAAATCATTGCCCAAACTAAGGGCTCCAGGCAATCCTGTATGTGCCCTGATATGTCCTATAAAGAATGGATCTTTTCTGTCCCAGATTAGACTTTGTATAGTGGAAAACAAAGAGAAAACAGTAGAGGAAGGGGAAATCCTACCAGCATCTTCAAGGGATACTACAGCATTAACTATATACTGACTATCAGAAAATAAATTAAATACAGAATCTTTAAACATCACAAAAGCTTGTAATACTGCATTAAGCTCTACCTTTTGAGCTGATTATTTGGGTACTAAAAATGTAAAAGTTTGATCAGGGGTAACTACTGCTGCTGTACCATTATTTGACTCATCAGTGAATATATTTGGAGCATTAATGATAGGTGTTTTTCTTGTCATTTTTGGAAAAACTACAGGATGCGAAGACCAAAAAGACAACAAAGGATTAGATGGTAAGTGGTTATCAAATGAAACATTAGATTTGCACATGATTATTGCCCAAATATTTAACTCATTAGCTAACTCATCAATTTGATCCATAGTGTATGGAGTAATAATTTTATTGGGAGAAATTCCAAACACTCCCTTTGCTGCTTTTATTCCTTTGAGTATTAATTGTCCTACAGCCTCAGGATACCTAGTAAGAACAGTGTTAGGAGAATAAGATAAATGTATCCATAATAATGGACCTTCTTGCCAAAATACTCCTGTAGGAATATTTTTTGTTGGTAGTTCAATAAATAATAAAGGCAAACTTATATCAATTCTATACAAATGCATATTTTCCATATATGTTTCAATGATTGCCCATGTGACCCAGCCAATCTGCCTCAAGAGCGGGAAAATTGAAAATGACCTAAAGGTTCTGGTTGAGAGTGCTCGCAGGAAGTGCCCGTGGTGGCGGTTGAGCTCTCGGGGAATTCCTGGAGAGCTCCTGTGGTGCAGCGTGCGTGCTAAAAATAAAGTTCGTTCCTGCTTGACAAGTGGCTCGTGAATTGTGCCCAGCCAGACTGTGGCACTACCTGTAAGGTAGTTAGAATTTGTCATTACAATTCTGATGAGAAGAAAATCCTGAATGGAGTGTCAATCAACAACTTTCCTTAGTTTCTCCAGAAAACTGATCTCACAGAGCTAACCACAATTAGAGAGACAGAGACATGGACATTGCAAACTTATTGGAGTAGAAGTCTAGAAGAATATCACTGAGTGGTAGGATTGAATGTTTATGTTCCCCTCAAATTCACAGGTTGAAATCCTAATCCCCAGTGTGATAATTAATTAGGTCATGAGGGTGGAACCTTATTAATGAAATTAATGCCCTTTGTAAGAGAGATCCCAGAAAACTCTCTGACCCTTTTTCGGGTATGTCAGGATATAAGAAGTTGGCCTCTGCAGCCCAGAGGAGGCCCCTTATTAGCAAGTAGCCAGCCAGAAAATGGCATCATAATCTCAGACTTAGAGCATTCACAACTGTGAGAAAGACATTTTGCTTGTTGAGAAACTACCTGGTTTATGGCATTTTGTCCCTGGGTTAGGAAAACAGTTATTGGTGTAATGCTACACACTCAATGTGGACAAGCATTAGACTGAAAACTCAGGGGGACTCAGTCTCAATGGCTGCCCACATTTTGATTATTTTACCTCCAGGATCCTTGTTCTTATGGTGAAGGTTGGCGAATAAACCTTGTGGTACATCTGGCACAGAGGGAAAATTCACTATTTTGAGAAGCATTCAGAGCATTCTGTTTTTTTGTAACAAGTCCTGCTGTCAACAGAAACTATTTTACAAAACCTAATGGTGTGTTTTTAACAGCACATAACCAACCTGGGGAAGGAGTAAGATCAAAATTCAGCCTGCTCTGGTCTTTCAGGAACCAGAAATAGCAGAAATGTTGGAATTTTGAGATTAGGAATTCTGATCCTATGTAAATAGAAGAAGAAGAGGCAACATACAAGAATTATTGGGCAAAGTAAACAGAGGATGTAAACCATAAGAATCAGAAAAAAATTCTGGAAATAAAAAATATTGTACCAGGGGCTGGGGATGTGGCTCAAGCGGTAGCACGCTAGCCTGGCATGCGTGCGGCCCGGGTTCGATCCTCAGCACCACATACAAACAAAGATGTTGTGTCTGCCGATAACTAAAAAATAAATATCAAAAATTCTCTCTCTCTCTCTCTCTCTCTCTCTCTCTTTAAAAAAAAATATTGTACCAAAAAGAAGAATGCCTATAATAGTCCAATAGACTGAAAATGGCTGAGAAAAGAATATGTGAGATGCAATAAGGGTAAATAGAAACTTCTGAAAAGAAAATGTTGAAAGAAAAGAAGAATGAAAAAGTTGAAAGAGAACATCTGAAAATTGTGACATAATTACAAAAGATATGTGCATAATGGGGACTCCTGAAAGAGAAGGGAAATGAACCAAAGAGGTAATAGTAACTGTTTTCTGAGGTAATAGTGACTGTTTTCCAAATTAAATATATGTATCAGTCCACAGATCTAGGAAGCTCTGAGAATACCTAGCATGATAAAGAAAGAAGCAGGTAAAGAAAGAAAGAGCATAACTCCAACTTTTTAAAAAGATAAATGAAATGACTAATAAGCCTTTAGCTAGGCTAACTTTGGAAAAAAGAGAATAATTTGTAAAATTAAACAGATTGTCAACTTTTAAATTTGTATACATGCTTAAAGTTTGCCTCATATTTAAATAGTAATAAAATGCAACATGGTAAATGGATTTAGGAGCACCTGTAGCATTTAAGTTTGAATTTAAATTCATTATAATTAAAGCTATTTAGAAACACAGTTCTCCAGTTGCATTGAAGTTGTTTTTATTCTCCTTCAGCCTACCACAGAAGAAATCCCCCTAGGAGATGGTGTCTGTGGTCTACCAGCCATGCCACCCTCCCAGGAGGCTGCTCTCTTGGTGCTGGTGATCTTACCCACCACAATAGAATGCTGATCACTGTCACTAGGTGCTTAGTAGGTTAGGAAAGGACTGGGTGGTGTCCCACTCTGAGTC